ATCCTTGAGGACAAGGATGTGCTTAAAGGGGGCGGGAATGATGCGGAAGTGGTGATTGAGCCCGGAGAACACGAGGGTTGGACAGGCGTGGCCGATGGGCGAATGGGCGAGAGACGCGCATCGGGTGGTGATGCGCGGGCGTTGGGCGTACACGCGGGCAGAGTCCTCGGAAAGACGGGCGCTCGACGGCACGCGCGCGAGAGGATCAATTGGAACTGGGCGCGCAAGAAAGCGCGCGGGTGTAGCGCAAACGCGAGAGTCCTACACCGCGAAGGCATAGGCGTGCTGGGCGCATACGCGCACAAGGGCGGCAGCGAAAGAATAGCGCGCAAGATGGCGCGCGCGTGGGGGGCAGATGCGCGAAGCCTAGTCCGTGCGGGACTAGGCGAGGCTGAGGCGGTTGGCGTTGACGTACGTGGGGCCCAAGCGCGCGCGATACCGCGCGCGAGAAGGAATAGGAAGCCGAAGGTCGGCGCGCACGGATGGAAGGCGTACGATACGGGCCGAAGTATTATGAGGCGTGAGGATGGAATTGTTTGGAGTGCAAGCCAAACAAGATCAAGACAATCTAGTCAATTAGGACTCTAGGATATTTAGTTTCCTTCTTGCACAATAATATCTAGATTGTTTAGATTATTTAATATTTAATTGCTTTAATTAGAGATTTAGTTGGAATAGGGATTATTTACTGCACAGTTTAGGAGATCTAGTTAGATTAGAATTAGATTTAGTTTTCTCCTATAAATACCCATGTCCCTTATGTTATTCATTCGATCATTGAAGAATTAATAGAACTCAAGAACTTTTGTTCATTCTCTCTTTGCTTTAGTTTTTTCACCAAAATTCTATTGCAATTATATCTGTTAGAAAGGCTGTGAGTGTGCGACTTCCTAACATCTATCGAGCGATTTAAGGCGCGGGAGCGGCTTGTCGACAGTCGAGGCACACGATCTTCATCATTGGTGCTTTCATTGAGAGGTCTCATTGAGAGGATCTAGATCGTGTGTCTTTTTCTTCCTCATTCTTTTATTTTCTTTTTCTTTTATTTTATTTTCGATTATTAAAAAAAATATATAATAATATATATATATTTTGAATCGTGAAGCGTATATATATATATATATATATATATAT